CCAGAACCAAAGTGAAAACGAAAACTAACTTCCACATTATATATATATATCAGAAATCCATTCATAGCTAACAATTATTCCTTCTTGCTTAACATACTTTAGCATCAACCATTGAGTCTTAAAATATACACTACATGTGTACAATCAGGCGTCCTTGTTAACTCATAAGATGTTAACAATCAAAATGTGAGCTATAACTCTACGATACATAATTGCACATTGAGGCAAATCATGTAATTCAATGTCGAGCAACCACAACAAGTAAAAAAATCAAACGAGAATTTCAACCTTCATTAGATGAACTCAAAACAGAGACTTCGGTAGGGAAAGAATTTGCTCGAAGTGTTAAAAAACCACGTAACACACGAGTATCGTTTTCACTCCAGCATACGCTCCTATAAAACTTTCCGGCTTTTAATACATTAAACCAAAAGTGTTAAAACGACAAAATGCAGAGGGTTCAAATAAAGAAATTCAGATTTAGGCTAACTGAAAACTAGTTCTAATCATTCAGTTCACGGAGAGATTTCCTATCAGCAACCACTTTACTAAATATCAAATCTGTGACTTGTACGAAATAAGATTTCTCTTTAGAAATTACTAATAGACATAATTTGTCCAAATTTAATTAATTAAAACAAAACTGCTGAAAAATAAAATATAGAGCGTATGACACTGCAACTGACTTCTTTCTAATAATACAAACAAATAAAAATTTTCTCTTCCATTCGAGCATGTTATGTTCTTTTGTATTATTATTACACGAACCCAAAATTCTAATCAGAGAGAATTAGTAATATAAAGATGACATATAATTTATGGATAACTAGCAAAATACAAGAGCAGTGCCTAGATTTTTGAAAAAAAAATTGTTTTAAACAGCATTAGTAAACCAGCCTACGTAAAATTGAATGCTGGAGTTCCAAACATCGGTACTTCCGCAGGTACTATATCTAACAATTCTTCATAGCTTGCTGAATACATATCTGTTGGGTACCGAAGACCTTTAGAGGCAGCTGAATGCCACTGACCAACCATAAACTGTAGAGCTTCCAAAACCGGTGGAACCGGGATGTCACTTAAAACTGCAAAAAATAGTGCCATGCACATCACAACTATTAAACTCACGCAGTTTCAGTTGCAACTCTATAAAGGGCGTCAGACTTTCTTACATGATGCTGATTAAATGACAGAAAGACCTTTAATGACAGACACCACAGAAACTTCGCAATACTTTTTTGTTGAAGACACGAAGGTAAGAAAAGGCAATGTAATAGAAACGAAATTATTTATAGTCCAATTTTAACAAGGAAACAAATAAATGCATACATACCATGTTTTGGATCCGGTACGCACTTCTTGCAACTTACAGCACAGTTGACATCGAAAAAGTTAGTTTGGGTATGTATCTGTTCACATTTGTCTTCCAATGCCCAGCGATCACAACTTCTATAGATGTTCCGACAATATCCTATACAGAACTGCGCCATTCGTTCAATGATTTTTTATCTCATTTGTAAAAAAGAGAAAAAAAACTGAAGTCAGCAAGAATGCATATTAATTTCCAACTATATCATGCTGTGATGAAGGTAATGGAATGATTCACAATTTCAATCAATACCATTACTTACTATGGCAATATCGACCCATCCAGCCAAATGCGCAGACGCATGATATCTTCCCGGGTATGCATGAACCACCATTCAAACATGGATTAAATTTGCAATTTTCTTTCGTGAATCTTTTTAGTACGAGTTCTCCCTGGCTATCACCTTCAATATCTATATATGCATATATATATATATATATATTTGCAATCCCATATATTTATATATATATAATGACACATTAATACTTTTACCTCATTGTTTTTCTCCAGACTTACCCCATCCTTTATAAATCTGTTGTTCCTGATGCAATGATGAGTTGACGGATTCAACACTGTCATTCGGGAAAAAGAATAAAGATTGAAAAGAAGGAAACAATTTTTGTTTACATGAAACCTAAATTTGGGAAAACACCAAGAACAAGAAGTTTTGTGAAAGTTGAAAAAATGCAAATGTTGACATGAAAAAAGGCGGATAAAATTACAGAAAATCAAACAACTGATTCATTTTGAGTAAATCAACAAAACATAATCGACGTTCAGAAAAAATGTTAAAAATGTTAGATTAGTATGTCTCAAAAAATTAGCAAAGCATTATATTATTATATGAATTATTGTTCTACTTTAGCTAATATGGCCAGACAGAACAGTAATAAAATAACTGTGAAATAACTGGTAACTGGATAATTCAACTTTTCAAATTCAAAATAAACAAATAAAAGTATTGAAAGCAAGAAACTTACACAAAACTGGTGCTAACACAGATAAGATGAAATATGGTAATAACATCGAGACTTGAAGGATGTGATCTCCTTGCTATATAAATAAATATATATGTATATATATA